ATATTCTTGTTTTTTCATGGCTACCTCATAATGAACTTCAAGTGTGCCAGAGTATATATTTTTGCTATACTTAATAAGCGAGGTATTAAACAAAGTTCTCTTGAATTTTTTATTGACTGACTTTATACTATATAAATTAAATTTAAAATTAATTAATTACATTTATTTTAATACCTTGGTGATTGAGCTAAACATATAACACGCCTCAATGTTCAGATCTAATATACTGTATAATATAATATATTTTTATACACTTCCAAAGGATGTATACATTTGAATGACTGAATAGAAATGATTTCCTTATAAGTGATATACTCTTGTATTCAATAGTTATCTGGAATTCATTTGAGATTTTTGAACACTTTTATTAAAACAGTCATTAAAATGAAAATAAGAGTACATTTTGTTCGGTATTACCGTATTTATGGCAAACATTTTACATTTAACAATACAATTGTAAAGCTATAAAGTGTAATAAATATTATTTTATATAACAAACAGTTTGATCTGTATTTAAGCCATGAATACATAAATATAAAACATTGAAAAAATAAATCTAAAATATTTGTCCGTCAATAGTGAGCCCCACACGTGAATCTTAATAATCATGAGATTTAGCTTGGTAAGTATTTTATATCAATGGAAACTCTATATATAGCTGGGCTCAAGAATATTCCTTATCATAAAATATATAGCAATAAATATAATATACTGACATTCAATAAGTACGTACATACTTTTACGAAAATGGGGAGGAACACCCACGTTTGTATATTTGCTAAAAGGATGTTGATTAACTCATTTGGCGTACTGTACATACTTATTGAATGACCCAATAATAGTAAAATTCTCAGCTTAAAGCGTAATAAATGAGCCCATATTTAGACGACTTGTCTGTCCTTCTTGACGATCATATAAGCAAAATAAGCGGTCAATGAGACCACTATAATGCTGAGTATATTAGTGGACATGGGCTGAATGAACAGGTTGAAAACGATGCCAATGACCCCCAGCACCAGATACACGAATACAATGGTCTTGTTCTCGCGTACGATACCGATGAGGACTATCACCTCAAACACAGTAAACACGATCGCAAGTATCAACAATGCTTCAAAACAATTATTGTATAGAATATTCTGTTAGATTCCGTAATATAAATAGTTACAAGTGTTTCGATAAAATCATTGACATTGATTAGTATTTGGGCAAAACATTGTTAATATTAAATATGAACATGTTCAGATTTGATCGAAACTCATATAACATTATTTTCAGTAATTATGATATAATGATGACTGACTGGCATCGACATCGACTTTACGGTTGTTACGATCGGATGAGGAGGTGGCGATAAAAATAACGGCCGCGATGCACATTAACACCAGGAATGTTGAGTGGATCCCGACGAGGGTCATCTTCACACATCGAAAACGTGTTTCGGCTTCCGGATTCAATCCGTTGTGAATTGGCTCCCCTTTCATTTGCATCATATTTGCTCCTTATATACGTTAATATAATTTATATTGTTAAGAATATTCTTATAATTCTAGATAATTATACTATGGTTAGTAACTGTAGTATTAACTATTAATATACATACAATTCTGGTAGTAAATTAATATTAGTAATTACAGTGTATTATTCACAATTTTAAACAAAATTAATGTAAATATTTGGCACTTTTTAGTCAGACATCATAACTGCAGTGAAAATCGATATAAAGTCTATGCGATTCTGTGCGCTATACTCTGTATGTCCAGTGTATGGTCGACTCAAACGCTAATATGTAAGCACTTTATTTACAGCACTTTGTTCGTAGAATTTTATTTATATAACTTTATGCTCACACTATATAACAGAATATCAAGGTCAATGGGACTGGGATTGCAGGGAAAGTAGCTTAGAGACAACTTTTTAATAAAAAGTCTATTCAAAAGACGAGCATTTGTGTTGAATCTTCATGTTATGGTCAATCAAAGAAAATTAATTTTATTGATTTTTATTTTAATACAATTATTTATCATAAATATATTACTTATTAACACGTTATTATTTTAAACAATTGAGAGGGAATTGTTATAATGGGCGTGCATTGCGCAACAATGCTTAGGTATAAATGGGACTAATATACACATTATTGATGGTTTTGTGTAAAATACTGTAACAAAGTTTGAAAAGTTTACAAACAAAACAATACTGTATTTGGTTTCATTTTTGTGTTGACGCCCGCGAAGTGTTTGATCTGATTCGTGGTATCCGAGACCCAGGACACCCGTTCACTCTCGAAGAGCTGAATGTGGTGTCCGAAAACAAGTGTGAAATGGATCTGCAGAGGAATAAATGCAGTGTTTGGTTCACTCCCACTATAGACCACTGCTCGATGACCACACTCATCGGGCTGTCCATTCAGGTGAAACTGATCCGCTCTCTCCCCGAACACTTCAAAATCGATGTCTATATCACACCCGGAAGTCACGCCACCGAAGAGGCCGTCAATAAGCAGTTGGCAGACAAGGAGAGTGGCGGCCGCTCTCGAGAACCAGCACTTGATTGAAGTGGTCAACCAGTGTCTCGTATTAACAATCAATTAAAATGAATGAATCAATTAGTGTAACAAACTTTTCAAATCTAAATGAAATCCAAAATCGCAATGTATTATGCGATTTGATAAATAATGAAGACTTTAATAACAAGCAATTAAGTCGAAAATCTAGTAAAAGAAAAATCTTAAGAAATATGGTATTTATTTATTTGTTATTATTAAAGCGTCTTTTTGTAGGGCAACAATAGTTAACTCACTCACTATTAACAATCAAATCAATACTCAATTAATAGCGAAGCCACCAGGGTGTAGGAAAATGTTTTATTAACAAATCACATAAATTATATACAAATATATTATAAATTAAATATTTCGTTGTTTTATTTAGTGTGTGTGTTAGTGGGCTTATGGATCATTTGAATAATATATTTTTATCTAATTTACATGTGATTTGTTATTAAAACATTTTCCGATACCCATAGTTATTTATTAATAAAATAAATATTTATTAATTGCAGGGAAAGCCGTATGTCAGTATTAAAGGAGTACAAATTGAAGAGAAGATATTCAAAGAAGTACATAAATGTTGTTCAAAATCGTGTTATATATTGATGACAACGGATGAACAAAATACATCTTTTGAGAGGTACGATTGATTTAGTAAAATACGAGTTTCGGTTGGATATTCAACAACAAAATATTATATCCGTTCAATAAATCAATACGTTTTTGGAGTATTAATGTCAAATCACTCACAGCTAAAACAATATTTTTTACTCAATTGTAAAATGTTTCTTAATGACAACTATTCAGTTTAGTTTACGAGTGAATTATCGGAATGAGTACTCATTTAGATATAAACGCTATATTAATATTAGCGCAGAATAGCAATCAAATTATTTTATAATTATATTGAAGTGAACGAAAGGTTAGGCTACAGGCCCTTAAGGCCTGTCTTAAAATGAATGTTTAATATACGTGGACTTTAAATATAACTTTTATTTTGTCACAAATATAGTGAATATAACTGTGAGCTTGTTACAATTATAATAGGTATTGAAAAGATATATAATATAGTTTAGCTGCTAGCTAGTTTTAGCTATAAAGATCATTATTTTAATTACTTTTATATCCTTTATTTAATTGACATTTTACTGTAAATCAAAAGTTATGTAAACTTTTAACAGGGAATAATTTTATAAACAATATCGTTCTAGACTTTAGATTTATAAACATAAATCATTTGAATCTAGATCACTACAATATTTTCTAATGATATAATTTTTTGGATTAATTTATAATTTAGTTTTTGGAATTTAATGGACTATCATCCACAAAACGTTTTCCTATCAACTTTAATGCAAGAGAAACCGAGAGATAATGATACTGATAATCATTACTGGATTTACAATATTTCTGGGAAAACTGTATGCAAAACGTATTTATTAAAACTTTTTCAAATTAGTGATAAAAGGTTGCGAACAATTCAAATGAAATTAATTAATGATCAAAGCTTAATTAATATGACTGGAAGGAAAACAGGAATTAATTGTAAAATTAATAATATAATTTTTGATAATTTTATTAAAATGTTTCCCAAAATTAATTCTCACTATACTAATAGTAAAAAAGTATATTTTGAGAATAGGCTTTTAAATATAACCCAATTATATAACGAATACATTAATTACATTAAAAATTTGACTAATGAGGAGCGTATAGGCCCAGGGCCAGAATTGCATACAATAGGTATGACTGCATTTAGCAATTATTTTAATAATAACTATAATATTAAATTCAGACATAATAGGACTGATGTGTGTGATTATTGTTTTAGTTTTGAACAGAAAAGTAATGATAGTAAATCAGAAAATGATAGATTAAATATGAATACTCATTTAAAAAACATTGATTTATATAAAGAAGTAAAAAAGCAATATATTAATGATAAAACTAAGATATGTTTTGAGTTTGATTATTCTCAAAACAAAGGTTTTCCTAAAATTCCAAATTCTGAAGTATTTTATAAACGATTATTATCATTGTATTTTTTTAATATTCATGTCTATAATTATAAATCGTATATGTTTTACAGTATTGAGGGTGTGTCACCTAAAAATCCCAACTCAGTTTGTAGTTTTTTATTTAAAGTATTCGAAGATTTAAATTCTAATAAATTATTGACTAATGAGGAGTGTATAGGGACAGGGAAACAGTTAATCCTATTTTCTGACGCAACCTCTGCTCAAAATAGGAACTGGATAGTAACTAAATTTTTATCTTTTATTTCTATTAAATTTAATTTAGTTATTAAACATATATTTCCAGTAAGAGGCCATTCATACTGTACTTGTGATAGAAATTTTTCAGTCATTTCTAGATATTATAATAAACCAGAAATTATAGAAACTCCTATTAATTTTATTAATGATTTGATTAAATTCAGTAAATTTGAAATATTAAATAATGATGTCTATAATTATGATAACTTTCTAAATGATTTTTTTGTTAAAAATAATTCAATTAAAATATCAAAAGGTGTTGTTTATCAATATCTCCCAAATGGAGATATTATTTTTTGCGATAATTATTGTAATAATAATGAAAAAATATTCTCATTAATTGATTGTGATATAAATGATATTAAAAAATTATATATTAATGAAAATTTAATTATAAAAAATATTGGTATAAATATTAGTAAAAGAGATGATGTTATGTCTCTATCAAAATATATATCAAATGAAAGTAATGTCTATTTTAATAATTTATTTAAACAAATCAATGTTAATGATATTATTGATTATGAATCTGATGAATAAATATTATTTAAAATGATAAAATCAATCATTTAATTGTAAATAATTTATTAGATCTTAATTTAATTAAAATTATGTTTAAACTAAACTTTTTGGACAAATTGGACCGAATGGCTGCCAATCCTTACCGAGTGATGGATCAGCTCAAACACAAACTCGGATTCAACGCCGCTTTCCTTAATATACCCATTGGTCTCGAGTCGAAACACACGGGTATTGTGGACGGCATCCACTTAAAGTCCATACAATTACAGGACTAGTTGTGATTGTTGTTTAAGTTTTCAACAAAAATAGTGATAAATCAGAATATTTTTACTCTAAATAGTGTATTATTTTCACAGTATTCTGTATATCATATAGAGTATAACATTTTATCTCACATTTGGTACTATTCTATATGAAAAGTATTGCGCAATGCACGCCCATTATAACAATTTCCTCTCAAATGCACGCTTTTATAAATGTGCGGCTTTTGAACGTTAGGCACACAATGACATGCATTGCGCCCTCTATTGCACTCAATCGACAACTTAATGATTGGAGACTTAAAAACTTTTTTGAGTTTAACTTTTAATTTGACAGCATT